CATGAATATAAATCTTCCTAAATAAAATTCAAAAAATAGATTGGAATTAAATAAATAAAAAATTAAAAAAAATAAAGAAGAGATAATAAGAAAATTAATAATATTAACTTTTAAAAGCCAAAGTATCCATAGATACTATTTTGTTTGTGATCTATAAAAATAAGCACGAACTATCTTGTATTACATTCATATAAGTTTAACTTCTAAATATGATAATAGAAAAAAATTTATTGGATAAGATTTAAGTGGACATGTTAATAGTGGTAGAAAAATTCAAAATTATTCATGGTGGCTATATATATATATATATATATATGTTTTAAAAAAAATTTAGAAATTTTTTATTCAGTAATTTAGGAAGCTTGTTTCCCCCTTTTTTATAAACTATTTAAATTGAACACATTTATGTTGTCTCTGACACACGTATGATGTGTGCTTAATTGTGTCTATATCTGATATATTTGACAATGCATTGCTTCTTAATTAGGAGCATTCGTTCATCATAGCTCAAAATATTCAATTAAAACAACATTTCCCATGATAATTTCTACTATTTTTCATTTGGCTCACAAAATTTTTTGTCTACTTTCTTTTACCCTTTCTCAAAGATCTTCCAACATGACAAAAATTTTGAGTTCCCAAAGTATATTGAATAATTATATGGTGATTTGTGCATGCAAAACTCCTACTTTTGATAAATATTTTATGTTGAGAGGGTTGTGATAACTAGAAACAATGGTAACTACATAGGAAGCTTGTTAAGTTTATGGCTCTTTCAATGATTATAGAAATGTAATATAGAATAGAATTAAAAAAACAAATGACAAATTTGAAGTCATTGCGATTTGGCACTTAAGACATAATCAAAGCTATATTTATTTTTCAGTCCTCTTGAGACTGAGAGGAGAGAGGAGGGTTTGATGTGTGAAGTCCTATCCTTAAATTTGTAAGAGTTTTATTTTATGTATTGAACTTGTGAGCTCTACATCACAATGAAGATGAATTATTTATTCTTCTAAATCGTTTCCCCCTTGCTTCATTATAAACAAAATTATTAAGAAAAAGTTAATAATGGCTCCAAATATGTTATTCCGCTAAAACAAACAATTATTGTAATTATCTCTTGTATTTATTTTTATTTTCTTCACTAAAAAAGTTTTAAATTTTTTGCTCTTGAAAACATTTGGTTTGCTATCTTGTGAACTTTACACATGATTTTTGAGGGCTCGTTTGAGGGAGCTTCGTCATTCGGAAAAACTCGGTTAAACACAACATCTGAAAAAGAAGTGCTAAAAATTTATGTTTAGTAAACTAATATTACTGCTTTAATATAAAAGTTTCCCGTGTCTATTTTTTATAATTTTTTTTAAGGCTATAAAAGACGTGTAAAGATTACTGAAACAACAAAACAACATCTGAAACGGTGGAACTGAGAGCCGGAGGAGAGATCCCAAAGCGAAAAAAAAAAATGTTACGACAGACACGTTTCGTAAAAAAGTTAATCAGACAAATGAAAGACCGTCATTCTCACAACTATTTCTACGACGAAATGGAGACCATACACACGCTCAAATGAGCCCTAAATATTAACAAAATTATGCAGAATTTCGTTTATCCGGTTAGAGGATGTATGTTATTATTTAGATGCTAATAACGTTCTAGCTTATGTCATGAACATATATAATCTATTGAATTACTCCTATAAATCATTTTTTATTTGTTAAAAAAAAAATAATTATAAATTTATGAAAGCTATGGATAGAGTTGTGACAAGGTTTTCTTTAATTTAATACTATATTTTATGAACCGAATTTGTTGCATATTCTAAAGACAAAGTTGGACTTGATCATTAATCAATTAAATAAAGTTGAAATGTTAATCCTTGTCCCCATCATCTCGACTAATGCTCTTGACTGAGTCATATGCTTCTTCTTTGTTCCTCCTAAAAAATATGGCCTTTCTTTTTTGCTTGGGAATATGCTATTCATTGTTTATTTCAAGTATATATTGATTGAGACCAATTGAGTTTTAGGTCGGCAATTATTAGGTTGCCTTTTTTAAAATTCCAGTAATTTTCTGACAGTTTTTTTATAATTTAGATGTAATTTCTTTATTTGTTACAAGGGCGGCTTATTTTCTCTTAAAGATAACTTATTATGAAAAAAACTTGAATTTTGATGGTGTTAGGGCTTTACTATATATATTTTGGCTTTTCGAAATAGTTACAACAATTATTTTATGTTTGCAAAAGGTTAATTTAATATTCGCTGTGCAATGTTTGTGACTCCCTTATTTGTTTCATATATGACCGCTGAACTTTTGGCTCGAGGTATTGTGTAAGATAGTGTTGTGCTCAAGCACCACTAGTGACTATGCATTGATTTCTAAGTTTTTATGGCAAGTTTCCTATAAAACCCTAATAGACCCTAGAGCTGTGATAGTATTGCGACTAACACTATTGTTGAGACTAGGCCCTAACCTCAACTAATTCTTAACTCGAAGAATGCACAAATTTTGTGAAGTTTTCAATCTCAAATCATGAACCTAGAGACATCTTAAACTCGGATATTAATTTGGTAGCACAAAATAATTAGAAAATAGGATAAGTAATATTCATATAACATTATACAAAATAATTGCAATATCCATGACAAACCAGCATAAAATTGAAAAGAAAAAAATTATAATTCATCAATTGACTAACTGATAATAATGAGACAAATATTTTTTGAAACTACTATAATAGTCACTTGTTGTGTGGTTGGTCCATGCACATCTACTTGCGAGCGCGTGCCTACGAGTGATTGCTTATTCATATGGGCACACATTTGTGCACAAGCTTATCACATGCTTGTGTGCATGCATACATATTGTCGGTGTTATATATATATAT